GACTGGGAAGGGGAAAAAGAAAACTTTCCAAGGTTAACAGTAATGTCCTGTATCTTGATAGGCTTGGGTTACATAATTTTATGCATCTGTCAAAATTTAGGATTTGTGTACTTTATTGTATGCAAATATTGTCTCAAAAGAAAAAAGCTACAACGAAAACACTGAACTCTATATGCACGCTTGAGCAGAGAGAAATATTCTAATGTGTGCAATTCACTTTGAAATGCATCAAAGAAAATTAAAATGGATTGACGGATAGGTGGGCCAATCCATGATAAAGTATATATAGTAAAATGTTAATGGCAGAATCTAGGTGGTGGAAAAATGAGTGTTGACTATAAAATTCTTTCGACTTTGCTGTATGTTTGAAGATTTTCATAATAAATTGTTAGGGAAAAAATGATGATGGGAATCCACTTGCCTATGTAGGGCTTAAATACCAGATTCATAATTATTTTCCAGATTAGGGCACATCTAAGCCTATTCCTTGTCAGAGTTTTACCAAAGACTTTGTGGAAGATTAAGATTTTCAAATAGAAATATGGTCAGTTATATAAGGCTGCAATGTGATAAATATCTTGGTGACAGATGTCCTGATGAAACTTATTTTTGCTGTTCCTAAATGAACTGGTTTTCTCCATGGCTTTAAATGTTGCAGCTGTGTTACCTGTCATGACATTTCCTTTGACAGAGCTGAGATAAATTTAAGGATCAAAGAGCTCCAAGTGATTTTACAGATACTATCTTATTTATCCTTGAAGTAAAAGAACAGAGTTGAGCAAGCATTATTATGTCCATTTTACAGAAAGAAAAAAAGAGGAGGACAGAGAAATTAAGGGACTTATTTAAGGTTAGAAGGACACCAACAGCACCTATAATAATAATATATTGAGAGCATACTATGCCAATTTTATAATTGTTCTCTTATTTAATCCTCATATAACCTTTCATTTTATACAGGAGGAAACCAAGGCTTATGAAAACAAATAGTTTGCCTAAAGTTACAAAGTCCATCACCCTAACTTCAGTCTAATTACTCAATGGCTCTGAACATTTTTTTCTACCAAGACACTTAGGATAGATGTTCACATTCCTGTGGGTATAACCAAAGTTAAGCATAATTTTGCCAGGTCCCTGCAATTCTACTGCTTTTCTTTTTCTCTAGAAAGCACACTGGAATGCAAGTAAGAGTGACTTAAGAAAAACCTTGAATCTCTTCCAACTTACATTTTACAAAAAGCAGATCATTTGCAAATTTGGTATTTTTTTTTCTTTTTTTGGCTGCGCCATGCAGCATGCTGGATCTTAGTTCCCCAACCACGGATCGAACCCGTGCCCCCTGCACTGAGAGCACTGCACACAGAGTCCTAACCACGCGACCACCATGGAAGTTCCCAAATTTGGTATTTTAAGTAACTTTGGAAACGAATTACTTTGCAGCATTAAGCCTGATAATCTGCAAAAGCCTAACTCTTCTAAGACCTATCCTTGTAGAGTAATAAGATCATCTTACTGAAGAGCACGGTGTGATACAACTCTTATAGCCCAAACTGCCCTCTCCTGTTGGTTCTGAAAATCTACTTCAAACTTGACCATCCACCAAATGTCTTTAGCATATACGCTAAAGAGAATGCAGCCCCAAGTTTATAATAAAGGTCAAGGTTATTGAGCTCTAAAAGATGTCTTCGTGGATGATAAACTAGCACCACTTTCAGCAATACAGCCAAGTCATATCACCTTCCTCCTTCCTTCTCTCCCTCCCACAACCCCAGCGTGCTATAGAAATATATCAGCAGCACTACAGGTGCTGTAGACTGAATGTTTGTGTCCCTGCCTCAAATTCATATGTTAAAATCCTAACCCCAGGGCTTCCCTGGTGGCGCAGTGGTTGAGAGTCCGCCTGCCAATGCAGGGGATACGGGCTCGTGCCCCGGTCTGGGAAGATCCCACATGCCGCGGAGCAGCTAGGCCCGTGAGCCATGGCCACTGAGCCTGCACGTCCGGAGCCTGTGCTCCGCAATGGGAGAGGCCACAACAGTGAGAGGCCCGTGTACTGTAAAAAAAAAAAAAAAAAAGTCCTAACCCCAAATGTGACAAAAGTAGAAGATGGGGCCTCTGGGAGGCGATTAGATCGTAAGGGCAGAGCCCTCACAGATGGGATTAGTGCTCTCATGAGAGAGACCCCAGGGAGCTGTCTAGATTTCTCTGCCATGTGAGAACATAGCAAGAAAATGACCATCTATGAATCAGGAAGTGGGCCTTCGTCAGACACTAAATATGCCAGTGCCTTGATCTTAGACTTCCAAGGCTGTTCCCTAACTGTGAAAAGTAAATTTCTGTTGTTTATAAGCCACCCAGTTTATGGTATTTTGTTACAGCAGCCTGAACAGACTAAGACAACAATCTATTCTCATTCTCAGAAATGACTTATAGGGACTTCTCTGGTGGCACAGTGGTTAAGGATCTACCTGCCAATGCAGGGGACATCGGGTTCGAGCCCTGGTCTGGGAAGATCCCACATGCCGCGGAGTTACTAAGCCCATGTGCCACAACTACTGAGCCTGAGCTCTAGAGCCCGCGAGCAACAACTACTGAAGCCCACACGCCTAGAGCCTGTGCTCCGCAACAAGAGAAGCCACTGCAATGAGAAGCCCCCACGTTGCAATGAAGAGTAGGCCCCGCTTGCTGCAACTAGAGAAAGCCCACGTACAGCAAGACCTAAAGCAGCCAAAAATAAATAAATATTTTTTTTAAAAAAAGAAATGATTTATTATGAAGGGACTTAGCCTGAATACTTTCCTCAGCCTGACAATCAGTTGACAAATTTAATGTCTATTTGTTCTCTTTATCACATTGTAACTCTATTCTAATTCCTTCTCTATAGTCCTAACTACATAATTTTTTTTAAGTCCATGATTAACAGATCAAAGTCTCTACATAAATATATCTCATTTGAGAAAAAAATTTTAATTTGGATTTAAGAGGCAGAGTTGATTATTTACCTTAAAAATTAGATTCTTTTTTCTTTCTTTTTATTGGAGCATAGTTGCTTTACAATGTTGTGTTAGTTTCTGCTGTACAACAAAGTGAATCAGCCACACATATACATATATCCCCTGTTCCTTGGATTTCCTTCCCACTTAGGTCACCACAGAGCACTGAGTAAAGTTCCCTGTGCTTTACAGTCTATTCTCATAAGTTATCTATTTTATACATAGTAGTGTTTATATGTCAATCCCAATCTCCCAATCTATCTCCCCCCCGACCCTGGTATGCATAAGTACAAATTAGATTCTTACTGTATGAAAAAAAAAGCATTTCTTTAAAGATCAGGCTGTTCTGTATTTATATATGATTCAATATACACACAATCTTTCACAAATAAACCTGTATATAATAAGAAGTAATTTCTATGTCTTGAACTTTTAAAAGAAAGCAAATAAAAACAATACAAATATATCAGAATGTAATTTTCAAAATATGTATACATGGGAATTCCCTGGCGGTCCAGTGGTTAGGACTCTGCACTTTCACCTCTGAGGGCTCGAGTTCAATCCCTGGTCAGGGAACTAAGATCCCACAAGCTGCATGGCGTGGCCAAAAAATATATATATGTATGTATACAAAGTTAGCAGTTAAGACTTTTTTTTTTTTTTTGCGGTATGCGGGCCTCTCACTGTTGCGGCCTCTCCCATTGTGGAGCACAGGCTCCGCACGCGCAGGCTCAGCGGCCATGGCTCATGGGCCCAGCCGCGCCGCGGCATGTGGGATCCTCCTGGACCAGGGCACAAACCCGTGTCCCCTGCATCAGCAGGCGGATTCTCAACCACTGCACCACCAGGGAAGCCCAGTTAAGACTTTTTAAGCTACTATTCCTTGAGAACCTACTATATGTTTGGCTCTATACAAAGGGCTTCATGTGTGTTATGCCATTTAATCTGCACACTGAGTTATTCTTTTTTTTTAATCACTGAGAATATGGAGGTTTATAGAGGCGAAGGAACTTGCTCAGAGCCTTCCTTGGAGCAGGTGACCTAGTTTGTACTCAAACCAAGGTCTGTGTGATTGCAGAGCTCAACTCTTTCCAGCATACACATAATATATTATAGAGGAGGAGCTTCCATGTCCCCATGGCCTAAAATGCCCAAGAAGGTCATTCAGCTTCTTGCTGTCTTCTGTGAACCATCCCATCCTGATTAGGCACCTGGCTATGCATTCAGATCAGAGGAGACCATAAAAGCGAAAGTATATTATAAAAAGTTTGTCCTTAACTATGTCTTTGGACTACTTTCTTCATCTCTTTTTTTCCCCTAATCTCTAACCAAACATTAGGTTTACCAGTACCACGTCATGGCATTAATGAAGACAAAGTCATAGAACCCAAATGGTGATAGAACTAGGAGGGACATTAGAAATTACCCAATCCAATGCTCTCATTTCACGAATGAGGAAACTGAGGTCAAAAGAAGCTAACTTGCCACAGTCACGTTATTAGTTGATGCAGCCTGACCTGTAATGAAGATCTCTGAATCTTTTTTCTTTTTTTTTAAAATCTCTGATTCTTTACACTAACCATAGTATAAGGAATTTCCTCCTAGAAGATATTTTTTAAAATTTCTTGGACAAGACTTTTTCGAATATTAAGTAATATTCATAATGAATAAACTAATAGCAACACTCCAGAAAGGTTTAAAATGAAAAGTAGAAGCCTCTTCTTTCCTTCTACCTTCTAATCCCATTTCATTCCCCAGGCATAACCATCATTAAGCTTCTTGTGTGTTCATCCAAAATTGATCTATATATGTACATATATGTGTGAAGTAATTTAAATATGGAAGTACAAAAATGATTCTCTCATCTCAGACTGATGTTTTCCTCTATATAATTTAGTCAACAGTCATATTATTGCATAAAAATACGCAAATGGAGAAAGTAATATTGCAACATATCTGTAAGTTTGCAAAGCTGTGAGTACAATGTTCTCCTTAGGTACAGCTCACCTGTTTTCCAGGTCCGGCATGCTTAGGTTTCTAGCAGCAAAGCACATTTTGAGAGGGATGACCTTCCTGTCCTTGGTGCTGTTCTGGTGTTTTGGAGAACCGGAGTCCTCACTGCCACTAAAGCTTGGTGACTGGGGAGCTGCACCTTCCCATGGCAGATCTGATACTAATGATGGCTTCTTGATATATGGCGTTACTTCTCGGATGAATTTAACTATGAACAAAAATCAAAGAAGAAGGTTAGTATTTTTGCTTCCTATGAAAAATAACAACTGAAATATATACATACACGAACTATCTGGCATGAAGTGAAAAAATACACGAAGTTAAAGAGCCAGGACACAGAATCTTAAGATTGGAGGGTGCTTTAAGAGCACGTAATCTAAATGATATACCACTACTCTATCCTAAAAACTTTAACTTCTGAGTCTTTGCATATTGTTGCTTCTGCTTAGGACTCCTTTCTCCCTTTGTTGGCCTGGCCAACTCTACTCAAGAGTCACCTCCTCAGCAGCCTTTCCTGTTCACTCTCTCCAGGGCATTACCATTACTCTTCTGTAGCAACCTCTAAGCACCCTGGGTTGTAATCCTCTGTTAATACTTCAGTTCCCTGCTGGCTGCAAGTTCCCCAAAGGCAGGGTTTACAATTTATTCAGTCTTGGTGTCTAACATCCAGACCAGTGCCTAGTCAGTAAATGTGTGAATAAATGAGTGAAGGAAAAAATGAACAATTAAATACCTGAATTATCTCAGTAGTTGGCCATCATGAATGAATCTGGATAGATTCAGTACCTCCTGAGACAGCCCCATCTAGCTTTAGACAACTCAACATTTAGAAATTTGAAACTTCCACCCATTGGTTTGCTGACTACAGAAGCCATACAGAACAAACTTAATCTCTTCCACACCAGAACCCTTCAGATATCTGAAGACTGAGATGATCTCTCTCTTCTCCAGACTAAGCTATGTATCTCTACTTCAATTCGATTCAACTCAGTCAACATTTTCAGCTACCTTCCAAGTATCAGGCATTAGGCTAGCCACTGAGAATACAAGAGCAACTTAGGCATGGACCCTGCCTTCAAAGAATGCCCAGTCTAGTAAGGGAGACAGCTTTGGAAACAAACCCTTATAGCTTTGAAAAACAAGTACAAAAACATAGTCAAAAACAAGGTATTTCTATTAACGGTAGCCCCAAATTAAGATATAGCTCTTAATATATGTGAAACGTTTTTCTTTTAAGTTCAATTTTAAGACATATAAAATACTTCTTTTACCTCATTCATGACTGGCAACTACTATCATTTGAGGCACTGTGCTCTTATTTCAAAAACTAGATAAACTGAAGATTATTAAATCCTTTTTTAGTAAAATCTTAAGCATTAAAATGTCAATAAATCAGTTGAATGTAGATAAGCCATTTCCTCTTCTAACATCAATATATGTTACATCAGTAATCTACCTCCTCTAAAATTCCACTGTGGTAGGTCATTAGAGTAGTATCATGGGAACTGAAAAACTAGAAAGATATGATCATTATCAATGCTTATCAATGTCATAATAGCTAGTATTAATATTTTATAGCATTAGAAGCTTCACAAGCCTATGAAACTTTACTAAGAAATAGATTACTAAATCTAAAAAATAATCAGCTATGTTTCTAAAAACATAGCTAACAAGTCTTTAGAATATTGTTTCTTTTTTGAATAGGTAATACATTCATATAAAACAAAATTCAGGGTTTCCCTGGTGGCGCAGTGGTTAAGAATCCACCTGCCAATGCAGGGGACAAGGGTTCGCGCCCTGGTCCGGGAAGATACCACATGCCGAGGAGCAACTAAGCCTGTGTGCCACAACTACTGAGCCTGCGCTCTAGAGCCCGCGAGCCACAACTACTGAGCCCGCGTGCCACAACTACTGAAGCCTATGTGCCTAGAGCCTGTGTTCTGCAACAAGAGAAGCCACCGCAATGAGAAGCCTGCGCACCGCAATGAAGAGTAGCCCCCGCTCGCTGCAACTAGAGAAAGCCCGCACGCAGCAACAAAGGCCCAATGCAGCCAAAAAAAAATTAAATAAATTTTTTAAAAAAGAGAGAAAAAAACAAAATTCAAAAAGTATAAAAGGTTTTATGATAAACAGTATGTATTTCTAGCAGCCCAATTCCCATCCCTGGAGGCAATTACTGTATGGTCTTCCAGCAACAGGCTAAGCATGTATGAAAATAGACACACATATGTGTGTATATACATAAATACACACAATGGTAGTATATTATGCTTACTGTTTCCACATCTTGCTTTTTTTTTACTTAGTAATACTGATGATAATCTTTTATAAGCATAGCATCCTACCACTCACTCTACATGATGTGGTGACAGAGAGGCCTTTGGAATCAGACCTTGTTCAAATACTAACTACTAACTGTGCTTGCTACTTCTGAGCTATATGACCTCACTTGACAGTCCTGAAGTCCTCATCTATAAAATGGCAGTAACACTAAGCAAGTAAAAATTCTAGGCATATGCTAAACATTCAATAAATAGTAGGCGCCTTTCTTCTCCTTCCCTAATTTAAAAAGCTAGAAAAGTTAAAAATTTCAAACAGCAATCAGAAGAGGCAAAATTATTTTCCTATAAGTTATTCAAGAAGATCTGCTGAAGTTAAGCATAATTCTAGAATATATAATAATGCTAATGCCAACATTTAGAAAAAGTTTGTGTGTTTTTATGTGTGTGTGCTTTCTATGTATAGTTATAATATGTGTATTTCTAGGTGGATAGAGTAAAAGCTAACTGCTCAGGTCACCAAGGAGATTTTTTTCATCCTAGAAAAAAATGAGAAGGGGCGCAACCAGTGTATCCTTTGAGCAGCTGACTCAGGCATTTCAATACATGCTTTAGTTTAGCTTTGTGCTTTCAAGAGAGAATTAGATCACAATAACTTTGGCAGAAATTCTTACAGTTTCTAGTCACTGCCAATGGCAGAGAGTTACTTTTTAAACATTTATGGCAGTATACTAACTTTTGGGCTACCAATTGGGGGAAACTAAAGACATTCTAAATGACTACTCCTGAATACTACAGTGGTTAGAAAAGCCCGCTTTATGATATACTCAGAAGTTCGTTTGATCACAAAGTAGCATCAGTGAGTTGATTACTACACATATTTAAATAAAATAGACACACACACATAGCCTATTGCATGGCCTTATTAAAAGAGCAATGAGTTTCACTTGAGTTGATGACAATGGCACCCATAGCCCCATCTAACTGGTTATCCATAATGGCTGGAGAACCATAAACAGACATCTGTTTCTAATTTACCTGAGATTCAGGAAAGGTGAAAAGTTAAGGGTGCTCTGTCTGAGTCCTGTTCTTAGACGTCCCCTGTTGCCACAGTGCATTAACCTGGATACCCGGCAGGATAAGCAAAGCCTTTACACCGCCACATGGCATTCAGGTCAACTCAGAAACCGTGATATGGGGACTTCCCTGGTAGCGCAGTGGTTAAGAATCGGCCTGCCAATGCAGGGAACACGGGTTTGAGCCCTGGTCCGGGAAGATCCCGCATGTCGCGGAGTTACTAAGCCCGTGTGCCACAACTACTGAGCCTGCGCTCTAGAGCCTGCAAGCCACAACTAGTGAGCCTGCGCGCCTAGAGCCCATGCTTCGCAACAAGAGAAGCCACCGCAATGAGAAGCCCGTGCACCACAATGAAGAGCAGCCCCCGCTCGCCGCAACTAGAGAAAGCCTGCGCGCAGCAACAAAGACCCAAAGCAGTCAAAAAGAAATATAAATTAATAAATTAATAATAATAATAACAAAAAACCGTGACATGGGACTTTCCTGGTAGTCCAGTGGGTAAGACTCCCAATTCAGGGGGCCCGAGTTCGATCCCTGGTCGGGGAACTAGTTCCCGCGTTCTGCAACTAAGACCCGGCGCAGCCGAAATAAATAAATAAATAAAAATAAAATCTTTAAATAAATTTAAATAAAAGAAACTGTGATATATTTCAGAGTTATTTCACTCTCCTGATAGTTAAAGATCATCCTCAAAATGCTTAAACTCTGATGTTTATAGTATTTTAGGTGTTTAGTTACTAAAGTTAATCTTTCTTTTACGCACTGCTCGCTCTTATTGAAAATGAAGGGGGTTCCCCCCACTCTAAAAGCATCACTATAATCCCTTCTCTTTTGTGACAACAAACATATACATGTACTGTACACACACCTGGAAAGACATCTGGGAAGATTTTCAGCAAAATATCAATAGTGCCTAGAAATATGCATAGGATTGCCTCTTTTTTTCTTTATGTAGTTGTGTATATTTGAAACTTTGATGAGCCCATATCATTTATATAAAAAACAAAAAACCTGATTTAAGAAAGGAAGAAAATTTATTCCAAAAACTTACTCAAACTTTAAACATGGAACCACCTTAAACTAAAACCTTGTTGAACATTCTAAAACTATAATGCACGGGATAGGATCCAAGATCCAACTGATTCTTACTGAATTCCATGCTCTAATGAATAAGGTTACAGGGGTCCATGTATATTAACAAGGTAAACTGCTATCCTGGTTTGGGGCATTAGGCAGCATCTGATTTTAAACTGATGCCATTTATGTGGCTTTTAAAAGCTTATCCAAAAGATACTTTGTAGTGCAGAAGTAGCCTATGGCTGTAAACACAAGTATTCTGGTATATCAATCACCTTCCCTTATATAAACATCAATCTCTCATATAATCATTATTTTCCTCTCTATTTTCTAATGCTTATTGTTTTCTTATCTCTTCAAGTGACCTTTACTATGAGTTTAAGTGAAACTAAATGGATCAGACAATGTAGGGAGAATCGTGCCAATATTTCCCCTGCTTTTGCAAACAAGTTTGTTTCTGACCTATCCTTAGGGTGGAAGAGCTGGCTTTTCATTTGTCTCACAAGTGAGTTACGATGACATCACTGTTCAAGTATTCTCCCGAGAAGTTTCTCCTCGACCTCATCCCAAGCTCCTCCTCCAAATCAGGAATCTGATAGATGGCCACCAAAAGCATTAGGGAGGAATTACTTTATTTTTCGTAAAAAGCCTTTTACATTCTCAACTTGCAGGTGTCTTTCAGCTCAAGTCTCTTGCCATTTAGGGTCTGAGTAGGCTGCAGTCTAGGGTTTGGTGATGTAAACCCTATACGTGTTCAGAGTGACTCTGGTTTCAT